TGGATGATCTTTTTCTCTATATATACATTCGCCACAAACTGGAAGCTGGGAAAAACTGAAATCTGGGACTTAACCTCTTGTGAAAAGTTCATCCTCCAAATCACCCTACAAGTTTACACCTTTATTCTACAGTGTATGTTTTTGAACACCAGTCACCAAATTCAGGGAGCATACATTTCCTCAGCACCATCACTAAACTGGAAGCAGCCTTGTTCCTAAACCGAAAGCTCCGTTCTGTGCAAAAAGACGCCTAAACTTAACGATTTTGACTTCCTTCTTATAAGTAAATATTTAGCTGACCACTACAGAGATCTATTTTTCCTTCAGAGACATCTGCTAACATGACTGGAATAACATTAGAAAGGCCTCCCTATGGTATGAATTACTAAGTGCAAGGGCTGCCAAAAGGGGAGCCTAGATAGTGCACTAGCATGCCGAGTTGAAGGTTTGAATGTGACGTGATATTGCTATGCTGTAAAGTAGTAAATGCAAGTGACAGCATCATATTTCCAGAAATATGAATTAATAATGAGCCAATTATATGTTTTTTAATTTTAAAAGTTGCTAATAAAGTTGGGCAACCCACAGAACAAGTACTATTACTGACTGGAGAAAAATATTGCAGATGGTCCTAGGAAAGTATAATGGAGGTCAAGACAACCAAGTGACAAACCCATATGGGTTTATGAAATTAACAATCTGGTTCCCAGTTTTACCTCTGCAATGCCAGTAGGAAGAGTCAAAATGCATTAGAACTGATACTCTCACCAACCTGTATCCTGCATTTACCATGGACACTTGGCACTTTGTCACTACAGGGACTGGTTCTGTTGATGATACAAAGCTGTTAGGAGCTTCACTAGAGTTGAAGATGGAGGGGAGGAATGCTCAGGCACTATTAGGCAAGAAGGGGTGGGTAGCTGGTCTGCCTGGTGATTCAAAACACAGTCCAAGTATCTCAGATAAAACTGCTCAAAACAACAAACTCCCCCATGCAACCATCTTACTGTACTCACTCAGAAGTCAACTGCCACCTACTGCAATGCTTATATAGGGTGCGTCCAGACAAGCGCGGACATTTGTTTCGCTGGGGAAAAGTAGCAGTGGCACAAAGTGGGGAACTCCCATGCCACGCACGCTTTGGCGCACCACAGGTTAACCCGGGTGGAATAGGGGAGCTGGGGCCAGCAACTGTGCTGGCCCCAACAGCCTTACTTGGGGTTGTGGGGGCCTCTCAGGCCTGCAGCTGCGGCAGGAAGCCTGGCCAGCAGCCAGAGCATGACTCCAGCTAGCAAGGCTCTGGTTTTGAGTGGCATGTGTTGCCACCATGTGCACCACCCTGCTTTCTTCTGGTGTGGGTTTTTTGACCCTGGGATCTTCCAGGGTCCCCCACCCTGCCCCCAAGCTGCAAAGTAGCAGTCCAAGGACACCTGCATGTGCCATGTGTGGCATACCATACCACTCGTCTGGATGTGGCCATAAGGTTCAATATGGAAAATGTTTGTGACAGGAGATGCTGAGAACTGGCACTGTTCAACTGGCAGTACAAAATGAATCATCATTTAGCAGTTTTCATGCAAGTGAAAGCCTACAAGCAGCTGGCATTACCTACTTACTAACAAGTACTGTGAATAGACTCCTTCCTTCTACAATCTTTCAGGTGTTTATCCACCACTTCTCTGACTGCAAAAAAAATACAGATTGTGTCTTGTAAAACTAACCTCGACTGGCCTGACAGAGGTTGACCTCTTGTGAATAGCATGTTTCATTCCAAATATCGGAGACAAAACTGTACACAAATCTCTTTCCCCATTGTAATGGTGTTTCTGAGAGCCTACCAGACCCAGAAAGAACCTTGCTGTTTAGTTTCTCTCTGAAGGATTAGCGACAGATGCTTCAAGAATCCAATGGCATTCAAAACATAATACAACCCTTGATTAATGCACCTTCTATACTTAAAACAGGAGCTCTCCTTGGACCATGCTGGTCTATTGACTCCTAAAAATGAATGTTTAGTGGTGGAAGTACTTGAAGCACAAGATCAGTCATGTTAGCAGATTGATTTAAGATAGGCTTCCCTTATACATGTATTTTCTTATTTCAAATGCCATGATCTGTATATAGCTACATATGACAGGATACTGTCCTGATTCTATGGATTTTTTGAAGAACCTGTATACTCCTCTATCCCTGTTACAACTGTAGTTAGCTGAGACCATAGAGTGATAAAAAATATAAAAAACTATTCAGACTTTGCAAGGATATGAAATTGGATCAACAAATATTCTTCAGGATGTGGAGATAAGTGTAACAAGAAATAACGGCAGGAAGTACAATCTAAAATTGGAATGCATCGCACACCCATAACAAAGGACAGTTTCACTGCAGAACTTCTCTCCAGTTTATTCCATTCCTCAAACTGGATTCTCCTGAGGCAGTCAGGCGAGGTAAGAATGATCAAGAGGCAGATAATTTTTTATTGATAGTTTTGTAACCTACTGCTTCTAGACATATTCTTCATTTACCTGACTACAAGCCTTCTGCTTGCTTCCCACACACACATATATATCTAGCTGTCACTAAACACTGAGTTTCTAACATACACGGTTCTCTCTCTCAAACACAGCGCATTCCAAACACTTCCTCTCATCTAAGCTCTGAAACAATGCGTTTTCACAAAGCATCTCAGTTTGCCAATTGGCACACACATCTAGTAAACTTGAATTCTCAGCGGACAGAGATTTCCAAAAAATCTCTCAAAGTAGAAACCTTAACTAATTCCCTTGGTATCTATGTAAATGAACTTTTTCCTCAGTGGAAGATAACATTCTTTTATTTAAGTTTAATCTTTGACCCTTTGTTTAAACCTCAATGCAGACTTGAAATGAATAAGCAGTTAATCAAATAGTTTAAAAAGGCATGAAAAGTTTACAATATTAAAAGAGAAAGTTACACATTTCATTGACAGCCGAAGAAAGGAAAAGTAGTAAATTCAACCTCTCACCCCCCAGTTCTCAAAATACTGAAACAGAAATAGTTATTACCAAATAAGTTTACAGCAATTTAAGCAAGGAAATTCAAAATGAAGAGATCATCTCATCCTATGCCATCATATAGTAATGTGGTATTGCAGAGTACTACTGTGGTACTCATATTAACATAATTTTCCTCAGATCCTGTGATATTTAATTTCCCCCCACCCCTTTTTGAAAAAATAAATAAAGGATAAATTAGTGGGGAAGGTAAAAAAAAAAAAAGGGGTCACTCCCCCTCCCCCCTTTCCCTCTCCCCAAAAGGCTACTTCCAAGCACCTGAGACCTGTATACTAGTGTTGAGTATACTTTGAGGTGTGAAGATCAACAAACTTTGGTACATGTTCCATGCATACTAGGTTTAGACTCTATCCGTATAGATCCTTACTTGAGGAAGACATGTTTTGAACTTGAAAATGATAATTGACAACATGGAACCTATCTAATATCCTGCATTAACATTTTGTGAGCAATTTACCATATAATAAACATTAACAAACAGTAATAGCTGGCCAACATTAATCATTTAAGAACAGAGAAACAATACAATGGGATAAAAAATGTTGCAATTCATGATGTTAACAGCAATTCACTGTAGTTAAAAATGACCCTCCCCACAACCTCTTCCAAACTGAAAGAGACAACATAGCATTGGTTTTGCAGTCCTTCAAATAAAGAGTAGAAAAATTGATTTTTTCTTCAAATTTAGTAAAAGGAAAGATTTGAAAAATTTGCATTAGGCTCATTCCTGAGTTTAAAACCAAAATCTTGATTTTATATTTAATAAAAGCAAAACTTAAAAATAAAGCGACCCTTAATTATACTGTCAGATGTCATCAACAGCATGATGAAAATACTAATATGCAGTTTTCACATTTGTAGTTTTATATTTTACTGCACTGAAGTCTTGTCTATGATACCTCATGCTGAAGGTGAACTGTTTGACATAAATTTTCCTATACTTTTGTAAAAATGTTTGCAGAATCTGGGAAAGATACTGATCTAAACAGCACTAATGTAAATTGACAGTAGTTAAACTGGATAATACAGAAATATTAGAATGTAATTATGATTATAATATTCATCACATTGTATCTTTCACAGGTTTAAAAAACACTCTGCCTTTATTTTACCATCACAATAGAATCTCACTTGTGCACATCCCATTAATTCACAGAGAGAATGACTTCCTCTCCTTAAATCACAGCAAAAATAGACTGCTGGTATGAGGGCTTGTTACTACCAGTTAGTTCTACAAAATGTAAAAGTATCTAATAATATAATACAAAGTATTAACGTATAAAAAAATGAGGCTTAAAAGCTAAAGGAACCAATTATAACAGTGTTCACTGTAAAAACCTTGCCAATTTTTCTTAACATTACCTATTTGTTGTATTGTCCAGTTGTTCCCTATATATACAATGAAGTATTGGGAATACTGCAATACTAAGACACCCATATCTCCTTACTGAAAGAGAGAATGGCATGTTTTTAAGTGCTTTGAGGTCTACTCAAACTAAGTACAATACAAGACATACTACTACTACTAACAATTTTGTGATACATTCCCACTTGCTTTTATTGCTGAATGTTCACCAATTCATGAAATTCAGCAATCTGCTAATGAGCTCTCCAATCATGAGGGAAATTTGACCCTAATCCTGCAGCGTTCTTGAGTACATGCTTAATTTAAACATGTGAGTAGATTCACTGATGCCTATAAGTACGTCTATAGGCTTACAAATATCTTACATGAATACTTCTATGGAACTACTTGTATGCTTTAAATTTTAAGTACATGCAAAAGCACTGCAAAACAGGGTATAAAAGTAATTCTGTAATATTTTATAATACATATGTGAATAATTTTAGCATCTATATAAAGTAAATATCCTTCAGCTATAAAGTAATAGCTGATATATTCTTTTTAGTGCATTTCATCTAGGAATGGACTTAATTAAAAATTACCTCTGGTATTCCCAGTTTCCTACATGCATCCAAAAAGTTTTCTACATTTCTCCTGCATTTTGCCATGCTGAGTTTAGGCTGTAAATAGAAAAAAACAACAAATCCCTAGATTAATATGAAAGAATACAGTGATATACGGTAGTCAATAGAAAACTCTGTTTATGACATAACCTGTCTACTACCAATGCCACATTTTATTTTTTTCCTGAAAACATACAGATACTGTATTTATAAAATGTAGAAAACCTCTTTGGAATAAAACGTAATGGTAGAAAACAGAAACAGAAGTGTTTTGAAAATGGGAGCCAAAATCTTCTGTAAAAAACAACACAATAAAACAAACAAACCACAAAAAAAAAAAAAATCAAAAGAATCAAGAAACTACATTGGAAAAAAATTTTTGCTCTTAGAAATAGTATAAGAATTCTTTGATGTCCTTAATCCTATAATCCAGGGGTTTTCAACCTTTTTGGGTCAGTGTACCCCC